AACTGCCAGCTCATGAGGTACCTTGAGGATTACCAGCTGATTAGTGACCGCCAATACGGTTTTCGCCGTGGTCGGTCAGCTGGTGATCTTCTGGTCTACCTAACTCACAGATGGGCGAAGGCAGTAGAGTCCAAGGGGGAGGCATTGGCCGTTAGTTTGGACATTGCGAAGGCCTTCGATCGGGTTTGGCACAAAGCGCTTCTTTCGAAGCTCCCTTCCTATGGGCTTCCCGAGAAATAGTGCGATTGGATCACCAACTTTCTTGCAGATCGGGGCATCAAGGTCGTTGCAGACGATGCAAGCTCCGATTGCAAGCCTATTAATGCTGGTGTTCCACAAGGCTGCGTGCTATCGCCAACGCTGTTTCTTCTGCAAATCAATGATATGTTGCAAACCCGTAACATTCATTGCTATGCAGATGACAGCACTGGTGATGCTCTTTACACCGGCCAAGCCAATATTTCTCGGGAAAACGTCTCCGAGTGCCGGGACAAACTTGTGTCTGAAGTCGAGTCTTTACTGAACAGAGTCTCGGATTGGGGGCGACTAAATCTAGTCCAGTTTAACCCCCAGAAGACACAAGTTTGCGCGTTAACCGCTAAAAAGAACCCCTTTGTCGTATCTCCTCAGTTTCAAGGCACTCCCCTTGTTGCCTCAGCCAGTATCGGAATCCTCATCGTCGACATATCGAGTGACGTGCAGTTTCGTGGTCACTTGGAAGAGAAGGCCAAATTGGCCTCTAAAAACTTGGCGTGCTCAGCAGAGCGAGACAGTATTTCATGCCGGCACACCGCCTGCAACTTTAAAGGCGCAGATTCAGCCGCACATGGAATACTGTTCCCATCTCTGGGCTGGGGCTCCCCAGTACCAGCTCCTTCCACTTGACCGCATCCAGCGCAGAGCAGCTCGAATCGTCGACGACCGAGTGTTTTCCGATCGGCTCGATTCACTGGCACTGCGAAGAGATGTTGCATCTCTTTGCATTTTCTTTCGCATATACCATGGAGAGTGCTCTGAGGAATTGTTTGGATTAATCCCAGCCGCCAAATTTCGTGAACGCACTACGCGGCAAACGTCGCGATACCATCCACATCATCTGGATGCTTGGCGGTCTACCACTGTACGTTTCAAGAGGAGTTTTCTTCCGCGTACAACCTCTCTGTGTAATAGTTAACCACCAACGATTTTTCCGGACCGATACGACCTGGGGACCTTCAAGAAAAGAGCGTACTCCTTTCTAAAGGGCCGGCAACGCACCTGCAATTCCCCTGGTGTTGCGGTTGATCATGGGCGGCGGTAGTCACTTAACATCAGGTGAGTCGCATGCTCGTTTGCCCCCTCTTCTATAAAAAAACCTACTAACAACAGAATTATTCTTTGATTTAAGTAAAGCCTTTGATTTTGTCACACATAGTTTTCTTTTAAGTAAATTAGATTTGGTTGGAATTAGAGGGATAGCTCTAGAGTGAATTTCATCTTATTTATCAAATCGACGGCAGTGTGTCGTTATTGATATAATGGTAAAAAATGAAATATTATCCTTCTCATCTAAGTACAGAGAAAAAAATACGGTGTTCCTCAAGGTAGTGTTCTAGGGCCGGTATTATTTCTTTTATACATAAATCATATAACTCTGGCGACAAATAACAAATGTATATTGTATGCGGACGATATTTCTGTAGTTGTAACATCTCAAAAAAACAGTAATTCATTACATAATCATGAAAAGGAAATAAATGACACAATCGATAATATAACTAATTGGCTGCATACAAACAATATGAAAATAAACCTAAATTACATACATTTTAATAAAATAAAAATTAATTCTAGTCTAAATATCAATAAAATTAAGGAAATAGAACAAATTAAATTTCTTGGCGTAATTATAGATCAAAATTTAGACTGGAAAATACATATAGATGACCTATGTCAAAGAGTTAATCGTTTTGTGTATGCACTACGTACCATAAAAAAGGTAACTAATAAAAAAACGACCCTATTATGCTATCGGGCGTATATTGAATCTATACTTCGATATGGTATAATAATGTGGGGTAATAGCATAGATTGGCGTAGGGCATTTATCACACAAAAGAAGTGTATAAGGACGATATATGGTATCCGAACTAGAGAACCCTGTAAGCCAATATTCAAAAATCTGTCTTTACTAACTATGCCCTCGTTATATATTTTTGAGATAGGTAAATTTGTAAAACAGCATACATATTTATTTAAAAAGTCATCTGATATTAATCCTAGGCTTAAAAGAAATCCAAATAGATTAGTTCTAAGCGAAGTTCCGAAGTCAGCTAAATATAGTAAATGCTGTTTATCAATGTGTGTACGTATATACAACAAAATACCTGATGAAATTAAAACACTACATAATATGAACGTATTTAAAAAAGATTGTACCAAGACAAAAATATTTATGACATTAATGAATTTCTGACATTTTAAACTAGATTTTGACATTGTAAAACATAATTATAATTTAAATAAACATGTTTAATTTGTTAATTTTAATACTATATAGGTTATCTTGATTTAAATTTAATTTGCATGCTATATTATATTAAAATAGCAAAACATGTGGGCATAATAAGACTCTGAAACATCAGTATAATTACCATGTTTTATGCAAATAAAGACTATTATTATTATTATTATGTGTGGGGTATCTATATAGTTTTCTCATCTGGTTGGGATGTATAAATATATAATTATAAACGAAAATGAAAAGACAAATATACAAAAATATCAATAAAATAAAATAAATACGAAAATACATAAATAAATAAAAGCCCAACCAGATGGAAGCCCTCGGCAGGGGAGACCAAACGGCCGAGGGTTAGGTGGAAAGGGAAAGAAACCGGCGGACGATGCGGGCGGTATCGAGGAGCACCGCCTTCTGCATTTGAGCCTGGAGCGGTCCGCCACGTAGTCCCAGCCACCTCAGATGACCCCAAAAGGCTGACTGGGATTAGCCCGTTTGTAGAGACGACTACAGGAATAATTTCGGTCGGCAGACCACCCCACATGTCGGTCACCTCGTGAGCCAGGTCCAGATATTTTGTTTGCTTATCTGTTTCGGCTTTCACGAGGTTCTCGTCACACGGAATGGTAATGTCGACCAAAAATATCCTTGACTGTGCCCGGTCCATCAGCACAATATCAGGCTTATTCGCAAGAATAGTCCTGTCTGTGATGATGGCCCGGTCCCAATAGAGCCTGGCGCGATCATTTTCGAGCACGGCTTCCGGCAAGTACTTGTAATACGGCAACTTCCGATCCACGAAACCGTATTTCAGAGCGAGCTCCTGGTGTAGAATTCTGGCTACTAGGTTGTGCCTGTGCAAGTACTCAGAGTTAGAAAGCGCCGAACAACCGGAGATGACATGCCTAAGTGACTCACCGGGATGGCGACAAGCTCGACAGATGTCGATGGTGCCATCCTTTAGGATGTATCTCCGATAGTTGTTGGTCTTAATAACCTGATCCTGTATTGCACAGACAAAACCCTCGGTTTCCCCGAAGAGGTCACCAAAGCGTAGCCAGTGGAGAGAGGTTACTGTGTCTACGAAAGGCCCATGTAGAGACTTGTAGAACCTCCCGTGGAGCTCCTTCTCCTTCCATACGGTCTCCCGGTCGGAAATTGTCTGCACTGCCGGGTCTTGCCATTGCTCGTTGGCTAAGGATAGAGGGGTAAGTCCTTTATCACAAGAAATGACGTCCTTATAGAATGGATCATCCGATCTCGCCAGGAAGTAATTACGGAGGCTGCACACTTCGCGATTATGCATGGTGAGCGCACTCAAGAAGCCACGCCCACCATGCTTTCGCGGCAAGTACAGCCTCATTACCGACGATCTCGGATGATGCATCCTGTGGGACGTCATGGTAGTGCGGACTTTTCTATCCAGGGCGTTAAGTTCAGTCTGAGTCCACCTGAGTATGCCAAAGGTATACATGAGGACAGGCATGACCCAGCCGTTATATGCTTGTGTCTTATTCACACCGGACAAAAGGCTGTTAAGCACTTTGGTCAAGCGTGCATAAAACACGTCGCAAACTGACTGTTTCATACCAGCCTCATCGATACCAATGTTCTGTGACATACCCAGGTATCGGTATGTTTCAGCCTCGGAAAGGGTCCTTAAGTTGACGGGCATAGATAAGTCTATGCCCTCAGAGTTAGCAACCCTACCCCTCTCAACATGGAGGACCGCACACTTATCCGTCCCCAGCTCCATTCCAATGGAACTGCTAAATTCACAAGTGATGTTTAGCAATTCCATAAGATGGGAGCGACTGGAGGCGAATAATTTGAGGTCATCCATATAGAAAAGGTGGGTCACTTTTGTCCCTCCTTTCCGTAGCTGAAATCCCCTCCCGGAGCCCTCCAGTAAGGTACTGAGAGGGTTCAGAGAGAGGCAGAACCATTTTGGACTCAGACAATCGCCCTGGAAGATACCCCTTCTTATCCTTATGTGGTTCTCCGCAGCCATCATCCGCTCGCCCAGATGACAAAGGATCGTACTCCACTGCCCCATACACTGCTCGAGGAAGTCTCTAACTGTACAGTCTATCTTGTACAGTTCGAGGACTCTCTTTAGCCATGTATGGGGCACCGAGTCGAATGCCTTTCTGTAGTCTATCCAGGCGGCGGAGAAGTTCCGACGGTTGCGTTTCACCACTTTGCCAATGACCGCGTCAATGAGGAGTGGTTCCTTGGTTCCACGACCGCCGCCCCGACATCCATTTTGAGCGCGCGACATCACCTGATTTGAGTCCAGGTGACGAGTGATTCTCGCGCTCAAAATGGATGTTAGTGTCTTATATATGGTCGGTAGACACGTGATGGGGCGGTATTTGCTCGGGTCTGTGGTACTCTGGCCTTTAGGAACCAAATGGGTGATCCCAGTAGTGAAGAGGCTCGGGAGCGACTTCTGGTTGAGAACCTCTTGAAACTGTCGGGCGAGCACAGTGTGACACACCACGAACCCCTTCAGCCAGTAGTGATGCAGCCCGTCGAGTCCCGGACTTTTCCAGTTCGGGGCCCTACGGACCGCCTCAGCTACGTCATCCGGCGTTATGGTGACGGGGTCCATGGGCGTAATACCCGCACACTGACTCGCCACAACTTCCGTCCAAGGGCCCTCGTTGTGGTTTACGGGCTCTGACCACAGGCTGCGCCAGAACGCGACCGTGTCGGCCTGATTCGGTACTGGGCCCGTTCCACTTACCATTGGTCGCTCCAATGATTTATAGAGCCTCTTCTGATCACTCTGGAAGAGACGATTCTGGTTGAACCGTGTCGACCTCTCGGTATATCGCCGAATTCGCTTTCCCCAAGCAGCGATTCTCTGCTTCAGGTCGTCTATGTGCTCCGTCAGTTTTTGCATTATATCCGGCTGGGACAAACTAACATTTGTCCCAGCAAACGCCATCCTGACGGTGCGCACAATCCTTGGCCTGGTATTGCCTGACCTGAAGCATATCAGTCTGCCGATGAGGGCCCTAGCCTTTGCGATACGTTCTTCAATTCTTGTTCTCCAGGCTGGGATAGCACTACTTTGTCCAGTAGTGCGTCCAGCCGTGGAAAGTTTGGCGCCTATAATACGGCAGACTGCCAGTGCGGCGCCAAAGAGAATTGAGTCCGTCTCGCAAAGGTCCCGGCTGGCTTCCAAATAGGTCACCAGCATTGGGTTCAGAGCCCTCACGACAGCCCGATTCCGCTTGCTTAGGGCTATGCGGGGAAGTCGCGGTCGATTTTCGAGAGGCGTACTGCGCGTTTCCATAATCGCCTCTTCCAATGTACTCCTCATTTGCTCTATTTCTAGTTCCTGGGTGAATGTTCCATCTTCATTTGAATCAGCAACCACTGGGGTATTCTCGGCGGCATCCACGTGTGCGGGTTGTTCTGCAACTTGTGGCACCGCACCCTCAGTCGTAGCGTTTTCATTTGATGAGGGAACAGCCTCACGTCGTAGCCGTTCGAGTTCGGCGCCATCAAATATATTTGAGCGTAAGATATACCGAACTCGGTCTGCCAGGTTTTGCTCGGTGACAGTAATAGATGGCTCCAGCTCAGTAAAAAGACGATGCATCCTAGCCCGATACGCGAAACCTCCAATTTCTCCCCCTTTCGCCCTAAAATACGCCCGCAATGCGTTTGAATTCATATTGATGGTCCATCGCATGCGGCGTACTCCACCAGTGGCGGGTGCCGATTGCTGGGCCTGCGAAGACCCTGCCGACACCAAGCAAGCTGGTGGGGATGATGGATGCGAGGGGCTGCTGGGTGGTCGTGCAGCACCTCGCGCTCGGCTGGCGGTTCGCATGCTGTCGCGTCCAGCGCCAGCTCCAGACGCGCCCTGACGACCTCCAGGCAGCGGCCCTTTGCGCAATCTTCTATGTTCCATCATCCATACAGGGCGTCATTTAACGGGAGACGCCCAGACCCGGCGCCGTTTCATGGTGAGGCCATATGCACAAGCGGGCCCTTGCACCATCAATTTTTGCCGAGGCACGGCGCTCACACCTCTTGGCAAGGTGCTGACTGACTGCGCGGACGTAGCGGTTTTGTCACATAACCGTCACGTCAGCGGGCGATGGGGTCGTCACTTCCCTACGCCCTATTATTATTATTATTATTGTGGGGTATCTATATAGTTTTCTCATCTGGTTGGGTGCTATAAATATATAATTATAAATGAAAATGAAAAGACAAATATACATAAATATCAATAACATAAAATAAATATAAAAGTACATAAATAAATAAAAGCCCAACCAGATGGAGGCCCTCGGCAGGGGAGACCAAACGGCCGAGGGTTAGGGGGGAAAGGGAAAGAAACCGGCGGACGATGCGGGCGGTATCGAGGAGCACCGCCTTCTGCATTTGAACCTGGAGCGGTCCGCCACGTAGTCCCAGCCGCCTCAGATGACCCGAGAGGCTGACTGGGATTAGCCCGTTTGCAGAGACGACTACAGGAATAATTTCGGTCGGCAGACCACCCCACATGTCGGTCACCTCGTGAGCCAGGTCCAGATATTTTGTTTGCTTGTCTGTTTCGGCTTTCACGAGGTTCTCGTCATACGGAATGGTAATGTCGACCAAAAATATCCTTGACTGTGCCCGGTCCATCAGCACAATATCAGGCTTATTCGCAAGAATAGTCCTGTCTGTGATGATGGCCCGGTCCCAATAGAGCCTGGCGCGATCATTTTCGAGCACGGCTTCCGGCAAGTACTTGTAATACGGCAATTTCCGATCCACGAGACCGTATTTCAGAGCGAGCTCCTGGTGTAGAATTCTGGCTACTAGGTTGTGCCTGTGCAAGTACTCAGAGTTAGAAAGCGCCGAACAACCGGAGATAACATGCCTAAGTGACTCACCGGGATGGCGACAAGCTCGACAGATGTCGACGGTGCCATCCTTTAGGATGTATCTCCGATAGTTGTTGGTCTTAATAACCTGATCCTGTATTGCACAGACAAAACCCTCGGTTTCCCCGAAGAGATCACCAAAGCGTAGCCAGTGGAGGGAGGCTACTGTGTCTACGAAAGGCTCATGTAGAGCCTTGTAGAACCTCCCGTGGAGCTCCTTCTCCTTCCATACGGTCTCCCGGTCGGAAATGCTCTGCACTGCCGGGTCTTGCCATTGCTCGTTGGCTAAGGATAGAGGGGTAAGTCCTTTATCACAAGAAATGACGTCCTTATAGAATGGATCATCCGATCTCGCCAGGAAGTAATCACGGAGGCTGCACACTTCGCGATTATGCATGGTGAGCGCGCTCAAGAAGCCACGACCACCATGCTTCCGCGGCAAGTACAGCCTCATTACCGACGATCTCGGATGATGCATCCTATGGGACGTCATTGTAGTGCGGACTTTTCTATCCAGGGCGTTAAGTTCAGTCTGAGTCCACCTGAGTATGCCAAAGGTATACATGAGGACAGGCATGACCCAGCCGTTATATGCGTGTGCCTTATTCACACCGGACAAAAAGGCTGTTAAGCACTTTGGTCAAGCGTGCATAAAACACGTCGCAAACTGACTGTTTCATACCAGTCTCATCGATACCGATGTTTTGTGACATACCCAGGTATCGGTATGTTTCAGCCTCGGAAAGGGTCCTTAAGTTGACGGGCATAGATAAGTCTACGCCCTCAGAGTTAGCAACCCTTCCCCTTTCAACATGGAGGACCGCACACTTATCCGTCCCCAGCTCCATTCCAATGGAATTGCTAAATTCACAAGTGATGTTTAGCAATTCCATAAGATGGGAGCGACTGGAGGCGAATAACTTGAGGTCATCCATATAGAAAAGGTGGGTCACTTTTGTCCCTCCTTTCCGTAGCTGAAATCCCCTCCCGGAGCCCTCCAGTAAGGTACTGAGAGGGTTCAGAGAGAGGCAGAACCAGATTGGACTCAGACAATCGCCCTGGAAGATACCCCTTCTTATCCTTATGTGGTTCTCCGCAGCCATCATCCGCTCGCCTAGATGACAAAGGATCGTACTCCACTGCCCCATACACTGCTCGAGGAAGTCTCTAACTGTACAGTCTATCTTGTACAGCTCGAGGACTCTCTTTAGCCATGTATGGGGCACCGAGTCGAATGCCTTTCTGTAGTCTATCCAGGCGGCGGAGAAGTTCCGACGGTTGCGTTTCACCACTTTGCCAATGACCGCGTCAATGAGGAGTGGTTCCTTGGTTCCACGACCACCGCCCCGACATCCATTTTGAGCGCGCGACATCACCTGATTTGAGTCCAGGTGACAAGTGATTCTCGCGCTCAAAATGGATGTTAGTGTCTTGTATATGGTCGGTAGACACGTGATGGGGCGGTATTTGCTCGGGTCTGTGGTACCCTGGTCTTTAGGAACTAAATGAGTGATCCCAGTAGTGAAGAGGCTTGGGAGCGACTTCTGGTTGAGAGCCTCTTGAAACTGTCGGGCGAGCACAGAGTGACACACCATGAACCCCTTCAGCCAGTAGTGATGCAGCCCGTCAAGCCCCGGACTTTTCCAGTTCGGGGCCCTACGAACCGCCTCAGCTACGTCATCCGGCGTTATGATGACGGGGTCCATGGGCGTAATACCCGCACACTGACTCGCCACAACTTCCGTCCAAGGGCCCTCGTTGTGGTTTACGGGCTCTGACCACAGGCCCCGCCAGAATGCTACAGTGTCGGCCTGATTCGGTGCTGGACCCGTTCCACTTACCATTGGTCGCTCCAATGATTCATAGAGCCTCTTCTGATCACTCTGGAAGAGACAATTCTGGTTGAACCGTGTCGACCTCTCGGTATATCGCCGAATCCGCTTTCCCCAAGCAGCGATTCTCTGCTTCAGATCATCTATGCGCTCCGTCAGTTTTTGCGTTATATCCGGCTGGGACAAACTGACATTTGTCCCAGCAAACGCCATCCTGACGGTGCGCACAATTCTTGGCCTGTTGTTGCCTGATCTGAAGCATATCAGTCTGCCGATGAGAGCTCTAGCCTTTGCGATACGTTCCTCAATTCTTCTTCTCCATGCTGGGATAGCGCTACTATGGCCAGTAGCGCGTCCAGCCGTGGAAACCTTGGCGCCTATAATACGGCAGACTGCCAGCACGGCGCCAAAAAGAATTGAGTCCGTCTCGCAAAGGTCCCGGCTGGCTTCCAAATAGGTAACCAGCATTGGGTTCAGAGCCCTCACGACAGCCCGATTCCGCTTGCTTAGGGCTATGCGGGGAAGTCGCGGTCGATTTTCGAGAGGCGTACTGCGCGTTTCCACAATCGCCTCTTCCAATATACTCCTCATATGCTCTAATTCCAGTTCCTGGGCGACTGTTCCATCATCGTTTGAATCAACCACAACTGGGGTATTCACGGCGGCATCCACGTTTGCGGGTTGCTCTACCATTTGTGGCGCCGCATCCTCAGCCGTAGCATTCTCATCCGACGAGGGAACAGCCTCACGTCGTAGCCGTTCGAGTTCGGCGACATCAAATATATTTGAGCGCAAGATATACCGAACTCGGTCTGCCAGGTTTTGCTCTGTGACGATTAAAGATGGCTCCAGCTCAGCAAAAAGACGATGCATCCTAGCCCGATACGCCAAACATCCAGTTTCTTCCCCTTTTGCCCCAAAGTACGCCCGCAGTGCGTTTGCATTCATTTCTTGTGACCAACGCATGCGACGTGCTCCACCAGCGGCGGGTGCCGCTTGCTGAGTCCGAGAAGACCCAGCCGACACCAAGCCTTCTGGTGGGGATTATGGATGCGGAGGGCTGGTAGATGACCGTGCAGCTCCTCGCGCTCGGCTGGCGGCCCGCATGCTGCCGCGTCCAGCGCCAGCTCCAGACGCGCCCCGGCGACCCCCAGGCAGCGGCCCTTTGCGCACTATCTTTTTATCCATCATCCATTATTTGGGCGTCCATTAACGGGAGACGCCCAGGCCCGGCACCGTTTCGTGTGTAGCCATAAGCACAAACGGGCCTCTGCACCCTAAATTCTGCCGCGGCACGGCGCTCACACCTCTCGCAAGGCGCTGACTGACTGCGTTGACGTAGCAGTTTTGTCACTTAACTGTTACGTCAGCGGGCGATGGGGTCGTCAATTCCCTACGCCTTATTATTATTATTATTATTATTATTATTATATTTTAATTTGTTTTTATAATCGGCGAGACACATATTTACTGTTTTATTTCAGTCTGAAAATATCAGTGACAACATCACGACAGCCACAGTTGATTGGATGGTTAAAAAATATCTTCCCTTCTCATTTTTCTATGACGAAACTACACAAGTATATTTCAATCTCATCAAGTATAGATCAATTTGCCCAAATATGGTGTTTCCTCAAAGGCCCACTCTTAGAAGGAAGGTCAAAAAACGGTTTGAAGAGCTTCAATTGAATCTTAAGAAACGACTACAACAATTTTCATCTAAAATGTCATTTACATTTGATGGATGAACGTCAATTGCTGGTAGGAGTTACTACGGGGTCACTATTCATTATACAGACAACAAATGGAAGTATCGATCTGTAGTCCTTGATTTTATACCATCACGCGGTCGACATACTGGGGAAGATATTGCAACGATTTTCCACGAATGTTTATTGGAATATGACATAATTGATAAAATACAGGGTATCACGGTCGACAACGCAACTGCAAATACCAAATTTATGTATGAATTGGACAAACAGCTGCCACACTTTGATTCAGACAATCAACATTTCCGGTGCTTTGCTCGCATTTTGAACCTTGTTGTACAAGATTTATTAAAGACCTTAACATTACACAGTGAAACTGACAATAAGGGACAAGAACAGCAGTATGAAGATAATGAAGACGAAACTGAGGAAGATGAAGAATATGCACCAAATATTGCTGACTTACGTACAGCTGTAACAAAATTACGCAGTATTTCCAGTAAAATAAAAAGAATTGAGATATTGAAGAGGAAGTTTCAGTCTGCTTGTGAAGCAGCTGGCGAGTCATCAAATCTGAACCCCATACTCGACTGTCCAACGAGATGGAATTCCACACATGATATGATTGGATTTGGTTTAAAAGTGAGAACTGGCATTAACATATTGTGCGCTTCTGTCGCCGAATTGAATGATTTTCAAATCACAGATAGTGAATGGCAAATACTCGAAAAAATACATAAGTTTCTAATAAACTTTAAACTTCTATCAACTAAACTTGGTGGAGAAAAATATGGTGCATTACCGCTAGTATTGTATCATTCAATCTCTTGCTCGATAAAATTGAATTCATGGTAAAACAATTAGATGAGAAACCTAATCGATCCGAAGTGGATGAAAGGCTCATTCTGGGTTTTCAAGCAGCTCGAGACAAAATGCTTAAACATTATAAAAAGAGCAACTGGATTTGTTGTACCTCTTTAATTTTAGACCCAAGGCATAAGACTCAGACTTTTGACATGACATTATGGGGGAAGCAAATTAAAACAGAAAGCCTGCGCAAATTTAATGAACTTTATAAAGAATATAAAAGTCTACACTCAGTGAATACATCTCTAGACCACCAAGAAATGAAAAGAAAGTATGTGAATATGATGAAGATCAAGACGTAATAGACTTTGAGAAATTGTATGCATGTCCCTCGACGTCATCTGGATCTGGATCTTTTCATCAAGGCTTAGTTATAGACGAGTTGGAGGAGTACCTAAGTAAACCCAGAGCCGCCAGTTCGGAAGACATTTTAGAGTGGTGGAGGACGCATGAGACAGAATATCCGACTTTATCGAAGATGGCCCGTGATTTGCTTTCAATACCTGCAACTTCAGTATCTGCTGAGAGATTATTTTCTAAAGTATCATTAGTAATTAGAAAACATAGAAATAGGTTAAGTGATGAGTCAGCCAGATGGTTACTTTGTATTAATTCTTGGTCAAAAGAATTAATATAAAGTAACAGTAATGTCAAAGCTGTTGTGTACTGTTATGTAATTTAATTCGTATTGTATTTTATTTTTTTATTTAAATAAATGTTAAATTGTATAACTCTTTTATTCCATTTCATATAAGGGTCTATCAATCTCTTTCTAGACAGATAATGTTCTTTATAATACAGTCAAGTTAATGTCATTAATTTGTTTTTTATATGTTTTGACTAAGTTTTAGCACATGTAAGCTTATTAAATGTAAACGTTTATTAAGAAACATACTAACTCCCGTGGCTGTGAGACTTGGTAGACAGCTCAGTTGGTTAGACCATCGGCACGGATCGCTTAGGTCGTGGGTTCAAACCCCACCCGGTATTAGTTGATTTTTCGAATTTCTCATTAAATGTTTAGACATTTATTAATTTGGTAGGTCTTTATATGGCTATGTTAATCCAAGCTCGAAATGTGCCTACTTTGTTAAGTTGTTCTAAGATCTAAAGTAACGTTTAATAAATAACAATAGGCTAATAGGTAATTGCGAGACTTGCGAGACTCTTGCTGCAAGACCAAGACCAAGAACAAGACTGAGAGCGCAATACCAAGACCAAAAACAAGACCAGGTGTATTGGCGCAAGACCAAGACCAAGACTGGCTAAGTCTCGTCTTGTTCTTGCATTTGGGCAACACTAGTGCCATGGCGAGGAACAGTCGAAGTCGGCCGCTTAAGGAAGGAATCCTACGTCTCAAACCAAATATGATTTTACATTATAATGATCTTAAAGATGTTAAGAGTTATTTCACAACCATCCGCTCAATAAAATAAAATGATGGGTCTTACCTAGTTTGAATAGCACCTCCCGCCCTCCCTCAATCGCGTGCACTAATCCCGTCACCACTAACCCCAGCACCACTGCTCTAGGAAGGGAACACCATCGATGATAATACGACACGTGTTTCACCTCTACACGAGGCATCCTCAGGTGATAGTAGTTAGGTTGTACCAGTTCTGGCGCACTGAGTCAGAAGTGGTACAAGTACGACGTTCGTCGACTCACGATCCTAAAAAAAGAAAAGAAGGTTTTGGCATGCTCTGATCACGAATCTGCGATCCATTTTTGCGTAGGATGCACGGTTCCGGAGATGTGCAGATCGATTAACTCTTATCTAATTGATATCCGCTGCGAGCCTCAACCGTCATTAGCGCTCCATTGTCCTTATCTACTTATCTATTGTTCGTTCAATACAGTCATTATCTATTCTTCCTCAGCGTGGTGCTATTGTATTATACTCCTTTGTTCCTATCTGCACTAATCTGACTCATTAATAAAACACATTACCCAATTTTGTTAAATTTTTTTATTTATAAAATTCAAAATCTTATTACTTATTATCTATAAAATAGGAGTGAAACATCTCATCCACTAAACTATCGTTGTACAATGTGTTCCCTGTAAATATACTCGTAAAACTATGCATTGAACATCCCTGAAACTTATATAGTAAATACATTAAGCAATATTCGCCACAAACTGAAGTCCACTCATTATGAATCCTATCAACATTCCAGTTCCATCTTTTACAACTTCTTTTAAAAAACTCTAGATGATATCGTACAGGTGCCCGTCCGAATGAATCAAAATATTGACCGACGTCATTCGTATCGATATATAAAGCTACCCAATGTGACCCTGGTTTATCATCTGTACCCAAATTGCATATTACCTAATCAAGTCATAAATTCTATTACATGTTTAATATAAAATAAATGAAACAATTTTATTCATTATGTAATCATTTATGTACCAAAATGAACTTAACAAAAACATAGATTCTTATGACACTATAGTTTATTCAAAATGACCTCCGTGATTTTGAATACGGGCCTTCAATCTGCGCGGCCACGTCTATCGCAGCACGAACGAGGTCCATGTCAATATCGGCGGCTGCCTTAATCAAGGATGTCTTGAGTGACTCCAAATTGGGATGAGGCTTTGAGCACGCCTTTTCCTCCAAGTGTTGCCATATCTTGTAATCTAACGGATTCAAATCTGGACTGGAGGAGGGCCAGTCTTCGTGTCGGATTAAGTCGATTTCACGCGCCGCCAGCCAGTCTTGTGTGCTCTTCGCTCTATGAGCTGACGCCGAATCTTGTTGGAATACCCAGTGCCTGTTATTGAACATGGTATGAGAAACAGGTTACACAAGGTTCGTCAGGGCTGTATTTTGATACACAACTGCATTCGTTTTTACACTTTTCTCACAAAAATGTACCTCTGTTAAGCCCCAATAAGAAACTCCCAACCATACCACGAGCGAGGATGGAAAATGACCTTGTTGGACACGCGGAATACGGTTGCTCGCTTCTTCACTACTGTGTACGTACACCTTATCATTTTGTTTGTTGTAGCTCTCTTTTTTCATCTGAAAAAAGAATTTCCCGATATATTTTTCCCGCGTACCGCTTCAACAAAGCGCAGCATCTCTTCAGTCTCAGGTCCATTAGACGAGCATTCAAACGATGTCCTGTTTTTCTTCGATATGCCCGAAGCCCTAGGTCTTCATTTAACACCCTTTTCACCGTGGTTCTGCTTAACCCCATCTGAAGGGACAACAGTTTCTGCTTACGTTTGGGATTTCTTTGAATTTGCGCCTTGACAGCTTTTATCACTGCTGGAGTCCTA